AAGTAAGGTCAGCCTGTTTTCCCAGAGGGATTTCCTTCTTCCCACGAACCCTGAACTCACCACTCTGCTCCTTCCTCAGAGCGAACCGGTGTTGCCTTCACGGCCGCTTTTCCTGGACCAGACCATCCAGATCATTGCCGTTATCTGTGTTATCACTATTAAACCACCTAACACAAATCCGATCTCTCCTGTCGTGTGTTCTGCATGTGGGCTTGTAAACAACTCAACCCCCCATGCGGGGGGGGGGGGGGGGGGCAATGTTGTCTTACCTTCTACTATGCCTGAGGGCTTCTCAACAGGTGGCATAGAGGATGTTCTCCCTATAATAGAGTATAAACACGTCAACAATGCTGTAAAGGAGGGTTAAGAAAAAACTGAAGGAAAGGAAATAGCAAAGTCTTCTAGAAATTATAAATCAAAAACTTAAAATAAAGATTGGAGGTACCTTGTGACGCCCCTTCTCCTGGATCATCTGTAGCTGGATAAGTAAACAGAAAACACCTAAATGCCTAATTTAAACAATGTGTAATATTGCATCAGGTATGACAATTGATATTCATACCATCAGAAGATTTATTAAGCTCTTGGTTTTTAGAGCGCTGAGGAATGTTCTCGAGTGGGGATGGGTCACAATCAACCTTGCTTTGTCCGCTTTCAGAATCAGTCAGATCTAACTTATCTAAAAGAGAAAAAAAAAAAAAACTAGTTTAGAAACAAATATTAATGCTAGTTCAAACAAATGCATAGAACTTTGAAAAGCACCTTCAATTTCAATCTCCTCTAGCGTTTTGCCTTGCAGATTTCCCAAGGTTCCCCTTTCCATTGCTAGAAGCAATTTGGAAATTTTTGCCAACTGAGTTGTAGCCTCTGGTAACCTGTAATAATCTCTATGAACACGTATATTATGTCCAAGAAAGTCTGCAACTTGGTCCAGTTCATGGTTTTTTAGGTTTAACACTTGGGACAAAGTTGCAACATGCTTGCGAAGCTGTGTTGATCTTAAAAGTTCTGGGTTTTGAGCACCACAGTCATTTGCATAAACCCTAAGACAGTCTTGTCCTCTGTAAGGGGTTAAACAGTTGGGTCTAGCAAAAAGAAAAGGGTTTTCTTCTGGCACTCCACACTCTGTTCTTCTGCGAATGAGTTGGATGATGGCTTCAACCATGTCTGGTGATAAAAGCACAGCAACTTTTCTTCCCCTTTTTCCCTTAATTTCAACCCTGCTGAAATGGGCACAAAGTCGTTGTTCAAACGTAGTCAGACCAACTGCAACATCTTTATGCAAGGGAGTAGTGTCCCTGTCTTGAAAGTTAGACAGTAGCATTTTAGAAACTTCCCCACCTCGTCTTCGGTTGAACAAAATGATTTTGGCCAATGTAGTTCTGCACAGTTCCTTGTAGACTTGTGGTGATGGATCACTTCTCAAAGTCTCAGATGCTGAACTTGCAATTTTTTTCTAAATGCTGGTGAAGATGCTGAACATCCTTGGTGAAAGGGAGTGTGGAAGGCTTGTTGAAGCGCTTGTCACTCAAGGTGGTTAAAGCTGTGTGAGAGACAAGCTCAGACCACTTTGATGAGTAAAGTTTTTTGACAGCCTGACATGACTTTCTAAGCTCTTCGTCCCCCGACACTAAAGATGTGCAGCATATAAGGTCACTGATCTTGTTCAATGAGTGTCCTAATTTCAGAGCAAGGCTAGGAGTTTTAAATGAATGACTGCCTTCATCAAAGCCAGATACTCTCTTCACAGCTTGGATAAGTATATGGAAGTTCGAGGGCCTGACGGCATCTTCAATGTTGTATACAGAAAATTCACTGCGCAGGATTATCAGAAGTCTTCCAACTTCTCAATTTTTTTGCCTAATATATTCATGCTTTGAGGGATCTTGACCATGTTTATTAAAAAATGATTGGGCAAGCTGCAGAATGTAAAAGTCACTTCGCACTGCACCAGACACTTCATCATCTTTCATCCCTGTTAGGAGCTTCCAAACACCTTGGGATATTTGTTGACATAGTGCAGAGCCCATCATTGAGGCCAAGCTCAAGACCCTTTTTGGTCCCTTCTCATCAGTTGTTCCTGGTTTTGATGCACATTTATGGGCATGCCGCCAAAGGTGTTTCCGAAGGTACAGTCCCTGGCAAAACATGCAGTGAACATACTGGTTTATGTTGTATTTCAGCTTGGGTTTGCGTTTGATTATTAGCAGTCCAGTGCCATTTTTAAAAACCTCGGTATTGTGAGTACAGTTTCCCTTATTCCTCAACTGTTCTAGCATTTTTTTCCTCTGTTTTGAGGCTTTTGGTCGTGCAAAAGCTTGGGCGACTTCAGCATTTGTCTTCTCATGGACTTGTAAGTGTCGAGTGATTTTAGACTGGGGCTTGCCACAAATAAAGCAGTAGTTCTTCTTATCTCTTGATGATGATATACTTGTAGACTGGATACTTTCAACAGCTTCAGATTCGGTGAGTGGCTCCACAGATATCCCTTCAGTTTGGATGTCAGGTGATTCAACTGGCTGTTTCTTTCCAGAAGACCTTTTTGTTTGTTTCTTCATCACCTCTTTGGCATTGTCTTCACTTTCAGACATAGGACTTTCAGCCAAGACATTCTCTCCACTATTATAGTTTTGAAAGTCCGACAAAGTCTCAACGAAACAAGCATCAAGATCTGTCCTTTTAAGATGATTGGAACCATCAATTTCAAGTTCCACTGAAGCATCTGAGTAACTGGCAGAGTCAGGCACGTATTCTTCCTCTGAACTGACGGATGAATTGGAATCATCTGAAACCTTAAAAGAAAGGTTATTTAAGAGTTGTTCTTTTAAGAAGTACAAAAAAGCGAAGTAAAGACATCTACCAGTGAAGTGGGTGGTACATAAGTCCTCTGGGTCTTTTCATAACACATCTTGTGCCATACTGAAGAACAAACTAAAAAAAAAAAAAAAAAGTGTAAAATTAAGGATTTCATCATATTTATAAAAATGATGAATTCTTGTAAAAGCAGTAATCATTTAGATAATTTCACAAGTAAGTTTAAGTAACAGCTATGCTTTCAGTAGATTAAGACCAAGATATGCGTTTTATAAATAAATAGACATTTTGAAATCCAATCAAAATTTTAATATATGAAACATGAGTTATAACCACAAAAGAAAACCCTACCTTTACATTTCAAACCATCCCATTTCAAGGGAGCATATGGTCCCAAGCAATGTAAGCACTTGTCAATGCTTGAAAATGATGAGTGCAGAACAACATGGTTGCATATCTGTAGCAAAAAACAAAAAAAACAAAAACACAATGTTAAAGTTAAAGCATAGTTCTAATTGAGATTATTCTTATTTCATTTCAAGAAATTAATTTGAGACATGATTTCCATTTGTAAACGAAATCTCTTAAAACATTAAGTAATTTTTGTAGTAATTTTGTAGATAAAATGTAAGGCCTGCGTAATCACTAATTAAAAAGTTCAGTTTATCTTATGTCCTAGGTTTTGACACCCCTGTCAAAGAATGTGTATGAAGCCAAGGTTAAGCAAAACAAACTGATTGGCAAAAAAAAATGAAGAAATGCAACATTGAATGCAGAAATTATTGGTCATCTACACACAGTCCTAACAAATACTGTCACCTGACAGGAAAGTCATTGCTGGGACTGTGTAATCTCTCAAAACTGCCTACAATATTACATTACGGGTCTTCTACACACAGTCCTAACAAATACAATCACCTGAGAGGAACAGCCATTGCTGGAATGTGTGTACTCTCTCAAAAGCCATGTCCAGAAAAATACATTTGAAAAAAAATTCAAGAATTTCCAAGTTAGGTAGTTGTTCACCTGGGGTTCAAGAGACGAGGACAGTGACATCATCTGCTCTTCATCAGGAGTTTTGTCAGGGCAGGCAGAAACCTTAGCACAAGACATTAAACACATCATTAAGATCCATTGAACATGAACTTCATGGTAGAACACTGTATATGGAGCCATTTAACAGCTAGACAAGGTGTTGGGCAAAATCTTCTCAAGCAAGGCCCCAGTGATTGCCTACAATATTACATGAACTTCATGGTAGAACACAATGGAGCAACATGTTCTGTCAAGCTGCCTGGTAGCTCCTCCTCCCCTCCCATCAGCAGGGAGGCACCAGAAGGAACAAATCTCCCAGCAATCGGGGCGTGCCAGGTACCTCTAAAGAAAAGGACCAAGAACTGCCGCATGGCTGAAATGTAAGCAGCTCGTGTTTGGAGACAGCCAAAATTCAGCTGCTCTAAAGTGATTGTGCAAACAAGTCCTTCTACAAAAACTCTGAAAGACAACCGTTAAGCGTCCAAATGCCCTTGACTCTCCGGGTGGACTTTAACATCAGAGAACTTTTATTAAGGTTAATATGGACTGTGGTTGGACTGTTGTTGGTTATTATTTTTGAAAAAAATCTTTATGTTGGTATGTCAACAAATTGATTTAAAGAAAAGATGGTTTAAAATTTTTAATTTGTCTTTTTGAACACCACTTTTATCCAAAAGATTTTAATCTTTACTTGTAAACATTCATTCATTTCTTTAAATCAATTTGTTAACATACCAACTGTTACGGCCCCTGGCCTCGTGAGGCTGTGCATGCTCCTTTTCTTTTGTTATGCAGGACCAGCTGTGATAACACCTCTTCTGATTGGCTGCCTGGAAGCTGCAGGAGTCGCACACCATTGGATCAGCAGAGCATGGCAAGACAATCAGATGCTGATGAGCCTCAGCTGTACCTTTAAAAGGCTCCTGAAACAGTCCTTCAGGGGGACAGCTAGTAGGAAGAGGTTCTGTAAAGCTGTTCCCCTACCTCTTGTTTGCTACCGCTTTGTAGAACTCTTGGAACTTTTGTTTGTTACTGCTAAAGCAGTTTGATTGTGTTTGCTGATACAAGCTTGTGCTAGGGAGGTTTAGCGCTCCCTTTTGTCTTCTGATTTGGATTGTTTTGAGTTACCTTTAGACTGTCTTGTTTGAACTTTTGTAATTTAATTTGCACTGCGCATTCTTACAATTGGTTAGTCAGTTTCTTTTGTTTCAGTTGGGTTATGTTGTACTGTGTTTTGGTTCTGTGAAACCCTTTTTTTTGTAATAAATCACCTCTTTTATTTAATTCCTTTTCTCTTGACATTTTTATGTTACCGCCCCTGGACCCCTAGACCTTGGGGGCGTAACATTATAAAAACCACTTCTGTGATTAAAGATTGAGACGATCCCACCAA